TAACCGCATCATCTGACATCACTTTATAGACGAGCAAACTTATGCATAAAGAAACATGCACAAGATCCAGCTCCAGTCTTTACATAAGCCATGAACATCTGTTTACCTCAGCTACTTCCTCCATCGAGGCTAAATGCAAATGGGGTAGTGCCAAAGGGCAACTCATAAAGAGTGCTTCCCTCTGTGTATCCCAGTCACATGAAAAGGCCAGTTCCTCTAAGAGCCCGAGGCTGTGGATTTTACTCATGCCTGCTTTCCAAAAATCACCTTGTCCTTGAAGTAATATGGGTGTTTTTACACTTGTAGTTCGGTTTTCTTTTCTTTTGGTCAGGACCAATAAAGTAAATTATACATTATTGGTTCACTTATCATTCACTGTCATTTTTAACACTCAACGTAAAGATACAAAAGGGAAAATCATATGGTCACAGCCTGATTGGACAACTTTTATGTTGCATATTTTGCAAACTTACCGAACATCTAAAACAATGATGTATGTTGGGCTAAATGTGCTCAATGCATGTGTGTGTACATATGGTGGTATTTTACCAGCTTATAAATCAAAGAGCTTATAAAATGTGTAAAAGAGCTAGAACAGTGCCAGGAGTTCACACTTATTCAAATTAACCTCACTAACAGTGCAGTCGCACCAGAGTTCGTTTTAATCAAACTAAACCTGCCAAGAGTGAACACATCCTATGAAGAATTTCCTTCATGAACTGTTTGGGCTGCTTCTTTGTCATGATTCAGAAATGACTGATACTTTCCCCATTCATCAGAGGTCAACATCTTTAGTTCAAGTTCTGAGTCAGAGTGTAAAAGAGATAAAAGAGGAAGAGCTGCAGAGCTTCTTTAGATTAACAGCACAGGGTCAGTCTTAGACATGAGTGAAGTTCAGTAAGATCTACTATTCTGATGGTAAAACATGCTGACAGAGGTCAGAACTGTTTGCACAAACAAAGCTCTTTTGTGTTTCTGTTGAAGAAGTCGCTGCAAATTTGAAACTAATGCAAACTTTTAGAAGAACTACAGGACATATATCGTTGTTCCTATATATTGTTCCTATTCAGATCAGTAGTATACAAAAAATTATTACAGTTTTGTTAAGGAACATTCTACGTGATCTTAAAATTGGTGTAAACCAGTTAATGTAGATGTTACCACAAAAAATACATTATTAGGTTATCTGATGCAATAAATGTTACAATGTACAGTGGGTATAGAGAAGAATCACCCCCTTTACAATAATCACATTTTGTTGCTTTGCAGCCTGAAATGAAGACAGACACAGTTTTTGTTTTATCCAGCTGTATTTGCTCTGTATTTACTGCAACTTTTAGCATCCAAGTGAAAGATATAACACCATCATGTCAGAAAAAAAAAACAGAATTACTGAGTTGGAAAAAGGATCACCCCCTTGTGTCAGCATTGTGTCGAACCAACTTTTGCTTTAATTACAGCCTTTAGTCTGTTGGGATACGTCTCTACTAAATTTGCACATCTAGACTGCAATATTTGCCCACTCTTCTTTGCAGAACTGCTCAAGTTCAGCTAAATTTGATGGTGAGAGTTTGTGGACTGCAGTCTTCAAGTTATTCCACAGATTTTCAGTGGGGTTTAAGTCTGGGCTCTGACTAGGCCATGCAAGGACATTCATCTTTTTCTCCTTTAACCGCTGTGTGGTCAGTTTTGCTGTGTGCTTTGGCAATCCGCATTGTTATGTTGGAAGGTAAACCTTCTTCCCACTGACAACTTTCTGGCAGAGGGCAGCAGATTTTCCTCAAGAATTTGACAGTATTTCTCCTCATCCATTTTCCTTCTATCCTGACAAATGCTCCAGTCCCTGCTGCAGAGAAACACCCCCATAACAGGACATTACCACCTGCTTTACTGTAGGAATGCTGTTATTTGGATGGTGAGCTGTATTGGATTTCCGCCAGACATATCGTTTGGTGTCGAGGCCAAATAATTAAATTTTAGTCTCATATGCCTCAGAATCTTCAAGGTGTTTTAGCAAAGCTCAGTCGTGACTGCATGCTGCCTTTCTTGAGGAGTGTCTTATTTATTTGCAACCCTCCCATATTGTCCCATTGATTGTTGTCACATGCACACGATGACCACTCTTTGTCATAAATTCCTGCAATTGCTTCAGATATGCTGTAGGCCTCTTGGTAGCCTCTCTGAGCAGTTTCCTCCTGCCTCTTTCATCCAGTTTGGAGCGACATCTTGATCCAGGGAGGGTCTGTGTTGTACCAAATACCTTCCACTTCTTAACAATAGACTTCACTGTGCTTCTAGGCATTGATAAAGCCTTTAAAATGTTTTTGTATCCATCTCCTGACTTGTGCCTGTCCAGGGGCGGCGTTTCCGTATGGCAGAGTATGGCAGTTGCCATACCCTAGCCCAGTCAGGTGACTTTTTCCCCCTTTTCTTTCTTTTTTTCTTTCTTTGCCTGTCCACAACTTTATTCCGGTGATCTTTTGGCAGTGCCTTGCCACCCATAGTTGGACTACCAAGGACTGAAATGCTCTTGTGAAAGCTCTTTTCATGCTGAGCTAATCAAAATGACCTCAGCTGACCACAGTTGAAAGTCAAATGGCTTTGTGTGCCATTGAGAAGGTGATTAGCTACACCTGATTGATTTTACAAGTCATTTTTAGTGATTAGCTACACCTGATTGAGTTTACAAGTCGTTTTTAGGAGGGGGTGATCCTTTTTCCAACTTCCAAAAGTGATTTTTTTTTCTTTTCTTTTTTCTAACATGTTGGTGTTATATCTTTCACTTGGATGTTAGAAGTTGCACTGAGTAAATAGAGCTGGATAAAACAAAAACTGTCTGTCTTCATTTCAGGCTGCAAAGCAACAAAATGTGATTATTGTAGAAGGGGGTGATTCTTTTCTATACCCACTGTAAGTTCAACTTTTGTAGTTTCTAACTTTTCCTAGAAAATAAATGAAAAGGTTTCTATTTAGAAAAAAGTTGATTTACAGTACGCATCAAGTGGGCTAATGCACATCAACATGAAACTGACATCTGAAATCTGACATCTGATACAGTATCATGCAGGGGTCAACCCTTGTACACTGTAAAAAAAAAAAATAATACTAATAATAATTTTGTCAGACATATTTAATTTTAAAGATAGACTGAACTATCAAAGAAGATTAAGTTGACACTACGTACAAATTTAATTAAAGTCTATATTTAAGCCATTTAGTTTAAGCAACTTAAACAGCTATAACTTACAATGCCAAGTTTTGGAAAGGAGGGTCTAGCTAACAGTCTGATGAGCGTGCTCAATTTGATCACTGATGATGCACTTGAATTTATGTTTTTGGTCAAAGCATGGGGACTTATGATGACAAATATTTGTTATTCGTAATTAATATATGTTTTAGCTCCATATAGTTTTTTCAATTATATTTTGTTATAAAAGTTGTGTGATATTTCAATTCACCATTATGTTAGTGTTCTCTTCTGCTAAGTTTCTTCCATTTCAATGAGTAAGTGTTGGTGTATAAGTAACTCTATATAACCTTCTCGGTTTGCTCAACAAACTGATACACAAGTTAGAGTTCTACATCACTGTGGCTGTGTAAAGTTAATGATCAGCTTAACTTAAAATGTTTACTGAACTTGGATCCACAAGCAAAAACGTTTTGAGTTTATAAAACTCAAATATTTTTGATATTTCACAACTTCTGATTTTTACATTATATTATGGCAGTACCATTGTAAACTAATGGTAAAATATGGCACAATCACGGTACCAATGCCATGACATTTTTTGATACTTTTTGGGGTCTTGAGAATAGTTTTAAATGTTTATCCTTTTAGCATTATAAAATCTTCCACCATTTTATTTTATGTTTGTCTTATTTCTGTAATATCTGTATTTGTTAATAACTCTGTTACCTCAGATAGGCACAGTCCTGTGTAAATCAGTCCTTAAAATCTGCTGTATTATTTATTAATAACAAATCACTGTTATGGTAAATGTATGTGATATCAGGTTCATTATGTGACTTTGAGACTTAGAAAAGGCTAAAATTGCTAACAAGTTAAGAGTGGCGTCAACATAACACGTCTATTTATTTCACAACACTGCGATAAGAAGTTACATGAACCCGTGAGAAACATGGGCGAGGTTCGCTTCCAACACGGGATACACTGAGCTTTGGTGCTACAAGAAGGAAGTCATTTTCCAGGCTCCTTTTGTAAAACAGACTAATAGTATTTACTGAACCAATGTTCTGAAGTTAGACAACACACTTTACAATACAATTAGACAGATACAGTTCATAATTGTGTTTTGCGCACATCGCGGTAGCCTGTAAATTATCCGCATTATTGGCATTGTAAAGGTGTTTTACCTCTTCCAAAGTGGCAACTGTATTCCTGCAGTGAGCCATGCGCGTGCAGAACACTGATGTTGTTGGTGCTTTATAGTCCTCACTGGTAATGTCCATAAACTCCAGTACTGACAGTTGATCAGGCATGATTATTCCCTTTAAATCAAGACTAAAACCAAGACAAGAAACATAAATTTGTTAAATGTTGTCCTTTACTAAAAGACCGCACACAACCCGATTCAAACTCAGTCCGTGTCAGTCATTCCTTAAAGTATTTTGTTTCCTTAAACTATAATTTCCGCATAGAGTCCAAACAAATCAAAAAGAAAAAGAGGCACTGAGAAGTTCATTCGTCTTTGAACAGGAGAGCTGAACAGCTCCATCACACGTGCAAATGACCAGATCAACACTTCTGTATTCCACCCATTCGTACCTGTACAGTAGAAGTTCACTTTACATGTGATTTGTAGGCGGATTCATATCACCCGTCAATCATATCCAGTCCGCCAATGAGAGAGAACTCCCGATCTTGTTGTCCAATCAGAGTTTAGGGATGTAACCTAACGCAGGAAACCTGAAAAGCTGAAATTATTTTAGAAAAACAATACGCTTTTAACGAAGCACACATCTTCCACACAATATTCTAACATTCTAACTTAATATATTCTAACTTCTTTATTTTCACTTCGAACTTTTATTTTGACTCATGACTACACCGGAAGTACTTTTGTCATGTGCATAGTGTGGTTCTCAGTGCGCATCAACGTTATCTATTATTATTAGAAATATCGATGGATACTGAATAAGTCATTCTCAATTAAGCATAAAATACACCATAAGCATGGCTACAAAACGTAAAGCGGATGTGACTGTGCCTGCAGAAGAGAGTGATCAACTCCTCATAAGACCACTGTGAGTTCAGTTCGTTCATACTGTGTTCAGTAGTAGTTCTGTTCCGCGCCAAATGATTTGGTGACTTTCTGTTTGACTTGACAGTTTTCAAATAATAAACACAGTATTTAACTGGACCCAAATGACATGCAAGATGTTTTGCACCCGTGTTAATCCTTTCTCTGAGTACTGTAACTATTAGCTCTTCTTTACTGTGATGTTTTACTTGTACAGAGGAGCTGGTCAAGAGGTGGGCAGGTCCTGTATCATCCTGGAGTTCAAGGGCCGTAAAATCATGGTAAGCAAAATTGTGTGCTCTATCCTACTTTTGATGGATTGCCAGCTGTATTTTTGACATGTTATGTCTTTCCAGCTGGACTGTGGCATCCACCCTGGATTGGAGGGCATGGATGCATTGCCTTACATTGATTTGATAGACCCAGCTGAGATTGACCTGCTCCTCATCAGCCAGTGAGTCCCATTCTCTAAATGAAAGATATCAAGTCATTGACATTTAACTATCTGCTGACAACCCCTTTTCTCTGGCAGTTTTCACTTGGACCATTGCGGAGCCTTGCCATGGTTTTTACAGAAGACAAGTTTCAAAGGAAGGACTTTCATGACCCATGCCACCAAAGCCATTTACCGCTGGTTGCTTTCAGACTACGTGAAAGTCAGGTACACCAAAGCTCTTGTTTCAATAAAACGGCACTTTAATTTTTGATTTTTTTATACAGAGCCAGCTCTAATATATTGTCTGGTTTCCTTGTTTCTGAAGCAACATCTCAGCGGATGATATGCTGTACACTGAGACTGATCTAGAAGAAAGCATGGACAAGATTGAGACCATCAACTTCCATGAAGTGAAAGAGGTGGCCGGCATCAAGTTTTGGTGCTACCATGCAGGTCATGTTTTGGGAGCAGCCATGTTCATGATTGAGATTGCAGGAGTGAAGGTAGGTGAAGTTTATGCATTCAGATCTTTTCAGCAACACTCGCACTCAGTTTGTGCTAATGATCATGGTCAATCTCTTCAGCTACTGTACACAGGAGATTTCTCCCGTCAAGAAGACAGACATCTCATGGCAGCTGAGATTCCCAGCGTCAAACCAGACATTCTGATCACAGTGTGTACTAGACTTTATGCTGGCAACATGATTTGTTTGTCCAGTGTTCAACAAATTATGTTTTTCTCTGGCCCCACCACAAACAGTTTTTACTTGTTATTTACATTTTATTTACAAAATAAATACATTACAACATGTTTTATACCCGTCTTGTTTTCTATTCATGTAGGAGTCTACATATGGCACGCACATCCATGAGAAGAGAGAGGAGAGAGAGGCTCGTTTCTGTAACACGGTCCATGACATAGTGAACCGTGAGGGCCGCTGTCTCATCCCCGTGTTTGCTTTGGGTCGAGCCCAGGAGCTGCTGCTCATTTTAGGTGAAGTCCAGCAGTCCAGACTCTCAGCCTCATCATCAACAATGCCTTACTGAAGTTCTACATGTCCTCTATTTCAGATGAATACTGGCAGAATCACCCTGAACTCCATGACATTCCTATCTACTATGCCTCATCCCTGGCAAAGAAGTGCATGGCTGTGTACCAGACCTATGTGAACGCCATGAACGACAAGATCCGCAAGGCCATCAACATTAACAACCCGTTTGTCTTCAAGCATATCAGCAATCTTAAGGTCTTCTAAATCTGTGAATAGACCAGGCAGAACTTAGATTTTAGTTTGGTTTAGTCATTTTGTTAGTTGCTTTTGTTTTTTAAAAAATATTTCTATATATTTTGATTTCTTTTGATTAATTTTTTGTAGCAATCTTAGTACTTTGACTTATTTCAGTTAGTTGCCAAAAAAAAACTCATTTTCATTTAAGTATTTATCTAATATTTATATTTTCTTTTGAATTAGCTGTCATTTTTATATTTTCTGTGTTCATTTTAGTGTTAGTAATTTAGTTTTTTTCTTCTGTAATATATTTGAGATATTTTACTTTATTTCAGTTAGTTTGTTTATTTTTCAGGTTTCATAGTAATTTTGTAGTACTTCAACATATTTATTTCTTTTAGTTGCCAAGAAAATGTTATAATTTTTGTTGAAGTTTTTTAATATTTAGGATTGATCTTAATTCTGCTTTAATTAAATTACCTACAAATATTTTTAGTAGTTTTAGTTAATAATAACAACACTTGTTCAATAGGAAATACAAGTTTTATAATCCAAAAATGTATCTAATTTGTATAAACTTGTGTGTTCTCCTCCAGAGCATGGACCATTTCGATGACATTGGCCCTAGTGTGGTGATGGCATCTCCAGGTATGATGCAGAGCGGTCTTTCCAGAGAGCTTTTTGAGAGCTGGTGCACCGACAAGAGGAACGGTGTCATCATAGCAGGTTATTGTGTGGAAGGAACGCTCGCCAAGGTGAAGCTCCTTGATCTTCAGCAACAATGTCACCACAGATCAGCATCAGGTTTCTTATGAATGCTGAATTAAACCTGCCCTAACCCTGTTTTCTTTTCAGCATATCATGTCTGAACCAGAGGAGATCACCACCATGTCAGGACAGAAGCTTCCGCTGAAGATGTCCGTGGACTATATCTCCTTCTCTGCTCATACGGACTACCAGCAGACCAGCGAGTTCATCCGAGCTCTGAAACCTCCTCATGTGGTAAAAGACGGTCATGGCAGCAGGTCATCAGGTTCTAGATCAGGTGTCATGTTATTGTTGTGGTTTTCAGATCCTGGTCCATGGAGAGCAGAATGAGATGGCTCGACTGAAAGCTGCCCTGATTAGGGAGTATGAGGACAATGATGAGGTTCACATTGAGGTGCACAACCCTCGTAACACTGAGGCCGTCACGCTGAACTTCAGAGGAGAGAAACTGGCTAAGGTGAGAGCGCAGCTGTCATTCCTCCACGTCTCTTCAGTTTTCATACCCACAGTTAGATATAGCTACTGCAGTAGTTTGTCAAAATAATAATCACAAACAGTTCTTCTGCCAAGTAAAATGATTGGTTTCATCCTGACTACGACTAAAATCTTTCTTTAGATTTAATGAATCTTTCTTGAAACATCTTGAACTCTTTCTTTTCATATCATTTTATCATTACATCATTGTCCTTTTTATCATTACATATTTTTGGTCTTCTTTTAAGGTGATGGGCTCTCTTGCGGATAAGAAGTGTGTGCAGGGTCAGCGGGTCTCTGGCATCCTGGTGAAAAAGAACTTCAGTTATCACATCCTCGCTCCCTCTGACCTCTCCAGTGAGCTGGTGTTTGTGATCGCTTCAGGTGTTTCATATGTGTTTGAGTGTGTGCTTCTCACACCTGTTCTTTTTTTCTTAATGATGCAGATTACACTGATCTGGCCATGAGCACAGTGAAACAGACTCAAGCCATTCCCTTCACCGGCCCTTTTCCCTTGCTTTTGAGTCAGCTACGGCACCTGACAGGTGTGTTTACCTGTGTGTATGTGTGTGTGTTTTGTGTTCATATGTGGTGCTCATCGTGCGTGTGTGTGTTATAGGTGATGTGGAGGAGATTGAGATCTCAGAGAAGAGCACGCTGAGAGTCTTTAACAGCATCACAGTGGTTCATGATCAAAACGTGGTCTTGTTGGAGGTGAGGCGGCACAGCAGTCATTCAAACACCAGTGTTACTGCGGCAACTGAAGTGGCTCAGGTTGATTGTGTGTGTGTCTGTTGTGTTCTTCCTCCAGTGGTTTGCCAATCCTCTGAATGACATGTACGCTGATGCCGTCACCACAGTGGTGCTGGAGGTGCAGTCAAACCCTAAAGCTCAGAAAGGTGAACGCTTTTTATCAGCTTAACAGCTCAAAGAGTTCTCTTAAAATAGTTATGCTCTTATGCTCTCATTTATTTCCATTCTTCCGTTCTCTTTTCATTTTCTTTTTTTGTTGCTTTCTTCCTGTTTCTAGCTTTGATGGCTTTCTTTATTTTCTTTGCTTCCTTCATTCCATCCATCTATCTTTCTTTCTTTCTTTGTCTTTTAAGTAGTCTTAATCTTGCATTCTTCCTTCTGTTCTTGTTTCTTTCCATCTTTCTTCATTCCTTTTTATCTTTTATCATTTTTTTTTTCTCTTTCTTTCTTTCTTTCTTTCTCTTTCTTTCTCACTTTTTGATTCCTTTCTTTTACATTCTTCTTTCCTTGCTTTTTCTCTTACTTCCTTGCTTCCTTCTCTTCCTTCTTTTTCACTTTCTTTCACTTTTCAAAATGTTCTTTTTTCTTCATTCTTTCCTTTATCTTTTTACTTTTTTGTCTGCTTGTTTACTTTCTCACTTCATTTTTGCCTTTTATTCTTCCTTCCTTTTATCTTCCTTTATTTCCCACTTTTCATCTTTATTTCTTCATTTTTTGCTTGCTTCTTTCATTCCCTTCTCTTTATTACTTCTTCTTCCTTTCATTCCCCCTTTCTCTTTTTTCCTTCCTTATGTTTCTTTATCTTGCTTTTATTGTTATTTTGTCATGATTTAAAAATTGTTAATAACTGGTCTTATTTACACCAACATTTTTGTTTTCCTCATTTTTTCATTGTAGTTCTTCAGCCCCAAGAAAAGAAGGTGGATGTGAATGTTTTCCAGAACAGATTACTGAAAATGTTCCAGTAAGTTCATCCTCACAGCACTCCGCTAACTGTCAATTATATTTATGATGAACTAAATTCTTCTTCTGCCCCAATCTGCAGAGACATGTTTGGAGAAGAATGTGTCGACTTTAAAGACAAGAACTGTCTCGCTGTAAGTGTAGACGGGAAAATTGCCTTCATCAACCTGGAAACCCGAGTAAGCATAACACTCTGTGATTCGTACACACACTTACGTTTTATGGGAAGGCAAGTCTTCTAATTCTTGTGTTTTAATATTTGTGTTTAGACCGTGGAGTATGAGGAGGCCAATTCTGAAGATGATTCTCTCAGAGAAATGGTGGAGCTCGCTGTACAGAGGCTGTATGAAGCCATGAACCCTGTCATGTGATGAGATGGGCTCTTCATTTCCTTAAAGAACTTTTGTTATCAGGGTCCATCTAATTTGAACTACTTCAACCAGACTGAAGACACCAGATACTAGACTGGACGAACCATTGAACTGACGTTAAAATCAAATGTAAAACAGTTAAAGGTAAATGTTGATACATGTGTGCAGTCTACTGCAGTTCTGTTTTCAATTCTGCTACATACAATGTGTAGTGATCATTTAAAATCTTGTTTTTGTTTTTTATTGCACATTTTTATGTTTAGGAAAATGAGCTGTAATTTCAGATCCAATCTACTGATTTAATAAAAGAGGTATTTGAGTCAAGTTGAGCTTACATTTCAGTACAACTTAAGGGTGACACTTTATTTAAAAATGAAGGCTTGCAAAATAGACCAAGTTACAGAAATATCTAACACTCTGATACAAAACACTGTCTTAATATTCAATACTTTCTCTCTTGTCCCATCACAACATTGTGAGGAACCATGCAGTCGGAGAATTATGGGCACATTTCTTAACATCGAAAAAGGTTTCACAGGATTTGACACCAGAGAATAACAACAAAGCACGCTTTCAGGGTTGGACGATGTAATAAGATCTAGTACTTAGAAATGACACTAGTATGCTTGGTATTCTACAAGATCAGCACCAATACATTCCCAATTACATTGTTGAATAAGATTCAGAAAAAGGTGACTGTTCAGCCACCTATAAATGACATATTGTCATACTCCCTTTTTGAGTTTTCCTGTAGATTATATTACAAAACACATGGAGTAAAATAAGATTTCACAATACAAAAAAGAAAAAATACAAGGCACTTTGGATGCTGACCTCAAAGCAGTGTTCATCAGTACATTCTTATGGGAGCAGCTGCATTATACATATTCTTGCATACAATCATGAACATTGTGTTGCAGAAAAGTCTAACTTGTCTGTCTTTTGATTTAACTAATAACTTTGGTGTTTCATATAAAGCCAATGAGCCAAACACGTTCTCATTTACCAAACATCTATAACATCTGCTGGTACAACTGTTTCCAGAACAAAAGAAAGAAGAGACAATATCTGAAAACATCAAATTCCCCTAAAATGTCAGATTGTCTTTTGCAAACAATAAAAAGCAAGAACACAAGATTGTGTTCTACAGAGAATACAAAACAATTTGCTGGTGAGTGTCACAAAATATCAACTCAAATATAACCGGTATATTCATAACAATGGTTCTCATGATCTGTTAGCATCTGCTCAACCTCTTAGACAAAAACAGACCTGTAAACATCTTAGTATTGGGCAGTTAAGCTTTAACAATGGAGCTGGTCATGTGTAGATAATGCTGACGAGATCCGGTGTGTGTGTGTAATTAAGTGTGCATATTGCATAATCCTAACAGGACTTGATAACATTGAGTTCCTATCTAATGCCTAGTTACTGAATGATTTGTGCCTTCTGTTTCTTTATAAAAGTCCCTTAAAGAGATAGTTAACCCAGAAATGAAGTGATTGCCCCAACATGTGCTATAGTGTTTTAAGGCTATGCGATAGCTTTGTGGAGGAACAGACCAAAATTTAGATAATTTTTCATTGATAATCTTCATTCACATGTTGTATTCATGAAGGAAGCAGCAATGAATGAATCACCATTCTGAGTCTGGTGCACAAAACCAGCTAATGTTCATGAATGGGACTGAAGTTCAACTCAGTTTAATGATCCGGTTCCAGCAGTTGAAGTGGGGATGTAAAGGGAAATAGAAACAAAAAAAGTAGGGTGGGGACTTGGTTCTATCCATCAGTTGTTGAAAGGATAGAGGCAGATCTGAATGCATATGTCCAGCATACGTCATAGGAGAGATGTGTGTTTCAAAAGCAAATTATAAGGTGCTAAAAAAATGAAAATGATATCAATAACATGCCTTTAGAAAATAGATTTCATACCTTCTTTAACAGCTGAAAGAAATTGTAGTCTGTTCCTCACACAAAATCCTATCATAAGGTTTCAAAAGACTTGGTATATTGTGCACAAGTCTTATGAATCACTTCTGAGATTCTTCAATGGTGCTTTTGCATCCTTATTTATTGTGAATTTCTCGGTAAAAAGAACAGCGAGACATTGAGATTTTCTCCTTCTGAGCTCCACAGAAAACAAAGTTATTCAGCTTTGGAATAACATGAGGATGAATAAATCATAACATTTTCATTTTTGAGTAAACTATCCCTTTAAAACATACTGCATTCTGGTTATTTTCAATACTGGTGCTGTTAGTACACATTGCAGTTAAATGCTTATGTAATGCTTGTTCTGCTCAACTTTGAGCATTCCCAATCATATTCCCTTATAATATTGTTCATTCATACTCACATTTCTTTTCCCCATTAATTACCTTTTTTTCCAATTTATACAATTGCACTTAACATTGAGTCTCCTTGCTATTACTCTGTGCATGTCTCTTTACCCTGAAGGACATGACATTCTCTCGGTTCTCCGTCAGATCGTCAAAGGAGCGTGACGCTGAGCCGGAGGTAGGGAAGTCTTCTCCCAAGGCTTGTTCATCCAGGTGGGAATCATAGCTGGGATCTTCTTGGATGGTGGCCATGCGTTGGGGCTCTATTGTAGGGAGAGGACACGGGGTTGGGGTTGGAGCTGGAGCCACCTGAGAGATGGAGACAGGGGGTGTGCTGGTCTGCAGAGGTCCAGACGCCTGGAAGCGTGGCACTGCAGAGGAGCCTGAGGATGAGAGTGGTTTGAAGATCCGCACTGAGGCTGATTCTAGACTGCTCAGCAGCTCTGCATTCTAGAACAGCACATAAACACAGTCATTTTTTACACTTCATAATATGTTAAAGAAAATAATATTTTCTGTTTTCTGATTGGTACTTACACTGGGGAAGAAGAGTGATTTTGTGTTCAATTCATACTGCTGGTCAAGTTTCTTATCCTAGACAAAGAGATACAGGAATGTTCACAAAAACTTTTTTTTTGGATGGGGCCTGTCATTATTGCAACTTCAAATATTTTGCATTTAATATATGAAATATTTATTGTCTGTGCTCTTTTGCTTTGAAATCAATCAAGTTTTTCTCAAATTTTGCACTGAAGCAAGTGAAATTTGTATAATCAGATAGATGGGTTGTCAAGAACCTAATTGACCGTCTTCTAAGAGTGACATTTCGTTTCGATCTTATTGTGATTGATTTTTTCTCTTGGTGTAAATAGATATTTTGCCTGTGATTCATGTCACCTTTTTTATGGTGCGAAAAAGATATTTATTCTTGAATTAATTCAATTTCTTGTTTTGCTTTTGGTATAAATAGACGTTTCGTTTGTGATTCATTTAACCTTTTTGTTTTGCTCTTGGTGTGAATATACGTTTTGTCTGTGATTCATTTAACTTTTTATTTTTGTTCTTGCTGTGACTAGACATTTCTTCTGTGACTTATTACATTTTTTTGTTTTAGTCTTGGTGGAAGCAGACTTTTCCTCTGATTAATTTTTATTTTTCATTTCACTTTCGGTGTAATTAGATCTTTTGTCTGCAATTCATTTCACTTGTTTGTTTCACTCTCAGCATAAATAGTCCTTTAGACTATAATACATCTCAAGGTCAGACTATTATAGTAGCAGAGCCTACATTTTCTCAGAGCTACAACTAGCTGTAAGATGTTAGTGGAAATGACTCACCACACAATGGACCAGAATGCTGAGAGGGATCCAGAAAAGTAGTGAGAAGACCACCACTGAGCCAACAATGTTATCAGCCAGAAATTTCCCTGAGAACACAGACACAGGTCTCATTCCTCCATTGGATTTCAAGTGCGATAAAATCACTGTGTTCACAGATAACTTACCAAAAGTATTGATGTCCAACTTCTCAATGAAATCCCACAACCTCTCAATAACATCCTGGACTTGCTTCATGCATTTGCCCTGGAAATGAGAGGAAATGTTTTAATAATTGAACGCAAACCATTTCCAATTGTCAATTGGGAAAAAAAAAAAAAGGTTGTTTCCAATAATTGAACTACTGCAAATTACCTGTGAATAAAAACAGTGTCTTTACATAACTGTAACTATATGTTGGCACTCACCACTCCATCACAAAAGCCCACAGTGCAGGGTTTTCCTTTCCGCAGAAAGAAGTGGTTGCCCTTGTCATTCACATAAGGAGCACATACAGCATTCTTATCCCTACAGCACACCTTACAAGAGTTGTTTGTCTCTGAAAAATGACATACAGGAAAAGTAAAAAAGGTCATGTTTGCTCGAGACTGTAAAAAAAACTGTAACGGTCACGTAGCAACAGTATTAGCGTAATCAGCAGGTCAGTTTACCATTGCAAGCACACGACCGCAGGTTCCCCACAGCTTCACAGAACGGGATGCACTCTCCATTTAGACACCGGCCATTGTCCACACAGATGGTCTCGTTGGGAAGGTTCTCTGGAGGAGGGCACACATTGCTGTGTCCTGTAAGAAGCACAGAAGAATATACTTTCAGTGAGGACAAAGGGCTGGACAAATGCAGTTAAATCTCATCACTAAGGAATTTTGCTTAAAGAAAATAAAGCCTGATTTTAGCAGATTTTTTTGCATTGCAACACTTTACATGACATTTAAGTACATTTTCTTCCCAAATTCTCATTACCATAATGCACCTGGATAATTTACTTTCAAAATCTTGGAATTTCTATTTGCCTCAGTAGTGATTCTCATTATATCGTCATAAAATCTCAATAAATAAAAGCAAGAATACCAACTACTACAAAGATATAAAAATATTTATTAATTTAAATATAATACAACAATTTCTTTGCATTTCATTAATGAGAATGGGATTTTTTTTATGATGATATTAAGTGATTTCATAATGCAAAATATTTGACCATAAAAACCTATTAAAAAATATGGTACCATACATATATGCAATTTTTTCATAGCAAAAATAAATAAATATACATTTTTCTAACTCACAGTGTAAAATCTATCTTTTGATTCTGGGTTGAAATATGACCTAGACATATTACTGACAGGTTACATGAAATTTACCCATTAACAGTATTATAATATACTTTCAAACCTATTCTCAAGTAGTATTGTTATTCAGAATTATTCTTAACAAAATCTATTATAAATCGCTTTTCAGCAATAAAATAAAATATAAATATTAGATGAAAAACTTGAACATAACTTAGAAATGTTGTCTTGGCAGCTTACTGAAATAAGTTTACAGGTGCATCTCAATAAATTAGAATGTCATGGAAAAGTGTACTAAAATTGAAAACTGTATAAATAAATAAATGTAAAAAATTGAAATAAATTAAAGCTATA